CTGAGCTACAATCATCAAAGCCGACTGCGTAGTCTTGTTCTCTTTGTATAGGTAAAACCTTACAAGGAAAAGAAACCGGAGCTTGAGAAAAGAAACCAGGGAAAACAAAAAAAACTTGCTGGCAAAACTTGTGTCTATCAGCTGGCCAGTAGTTTCCTGCGCGACGATCAAACTTGTCACTGTCTTGTCTCTGTCGCTTCGATTCATGGCCTCGCTTTCCTTTCCAGCTTCGATTCCTTTTGCCAGCTCGATCGTCAGAAACTGAGCCGCCACCGTATCTCACGCGAATGCGATTGTCCGCCACAGTATCAGTTATAAGCATCGGCATTCTCTCCCGAAAGAACGCGTGAACTTTCTGCAACACGAAGAACTTACTTTCATAGACAACAAGAAAGACAAGCAGCAAAGATACCGTGCGGCTGCCTTTATCCTCGTTTGGCGTGAGAGTTTCCACCAGTGAGTTTCCATCATCGGACTTTTCCTGAGAAATCTTGTCAAGGAGCCGCTTGACAATACGAGCATTCTCCTTGCCGGCGAGTTCCTTGAAAGCATCGAGCTGAGCCTCGTATGAAGCCACGGAAAACTCCGCGGCAGCGGCATCACTCCGGGTTTCATCCTGAAAGACGAAAGAGAAAAACGAAGCTAAACAGCCATGATCAAGAATGGAAACGTCAAAGGACCTCTGGTGGCGCTGTTAAGCTCGTCAATTGCACCACATTGCCATCGAGATCCACCTTGTTAACGATGAAGTCGGAGTACCTGAAAGAACGGAATGAAAGAATGCAACCATGGTTGGAGAGAGCGCGGCATTGTCCATACCTTTGCTTGAGAACAGCTCTAAAACCGGGGAAGGAATTCGCGAAGCACAAAATCCCAACATCCTTCTCCATCGCACGACATAACTAAAACCCTTAAATTGTTCGAATCCTCTTCTTTTCCAGAAGTATTTTGGTACTCAAAGATCTGCCACCTTATAAACGAAAATCTGTAAGTTCCATAAAGGTAGATGACACAGATTTCTTTTAGGTCAATGTTTTTCATATAGTAGCCAGCTAGCGGATGTTTGCATGTCCAGCTGTGGACCACGCCCATCGCTGCGATCGCCAAAAACATCGTCAATCCCTTCAGCGATTGTCATTCTAGCCACTATAAACCACCACCGAAATCGCCCAATTTACTCTCCTCCCATTCTCTCACCACTTCCATTATCAATCTCGAGCTCCATACATGCTGATCAGGGCTGTTCCGATGCAAACATCTGTTCCCAGGCCGGACGCAGCGATCTCGGAGTGGATGGCTTCGCCCAGTCTCAGTTCGTCGGGTACTCCACAAGCATAGAGAGCAGTGATGAAGATCGCTCGATCTGCGGTATCGCCACCGTCGAGATCCATAACTTAGAGCAACCAGAGAGCGGTCTTTGCAAGGCCGCAGTGGAGGTTCGCAGCGATGGCGATGTTCCAGGACACCAAACTTCGCTCCGGCATTAGCTGGAACAAAGCATTTGCGGCGGCGAGATCTCCGTTCCGAGCAAACGCTGATAGAAGACTGTTCCACGCGATGGCGTCTGGACTGCTGATCCGATCAAACACCGCGATGGCTTTCTCGACGCTCCCCAGTCTGTCATACATTTTGATCAGAGCAGTCTGGATCTGGAGATCGAAATGGAAACCATGCTGCGAGATTTTGGAGTGAAGGAGCTTACATTCCTCAGAAGATCGTGATGGATCCATCTCGCTGCTATCAAATGCGTCGAGAAGAGCCACGAAAGTCAGCCTGTTTGGATAGATTCCCTGTCGCTCCATCGCGTTCAAAAGCCTGAGCATCCGATCGATGTCGCCGGCCCGAGCAAAAGCGGCGATGATCACATTCCAGGAGACCTGATCACGCTTGGGCATTTTCTGGAACAAAATCTCGGCTCGTTGCAAATGCCCGGCTTTGATTAAAATGCTGTGATTAAAATGTTCCACAAGAAGACATTCCGCCTGGAAATCCTGGAGAAGGCAGCGTATGCCTCATCCGTGCTACCGCAGCCCCCATGCACCTGGACGAGGAGATTCCCAAGAAATGTGTCTTGGTCTTGCCCGGTGTCGCGCAGAAATCCATGGAGCTTCCTGCCAGAGGAGATTCTTGGCGCTGTCCACTAGAAGAAGAAGAGGAAGAGTCCGCCAAGCCTCGTAATAGCATAGAAGAGAGCATTGTGCTCCATTGCGAAAAACTGGAAAAGGAAGTGACAATACAAAAAGTAAAATTTCATATGATCTCTTGTAGCCAAAGAACACGAACTAGTAACTCGTGTTGAGCCGCTCCATGCTGACGTCCCAAGATCTTCTTTTACTCGCTTCTGTTGAACCACAACGACATTATCACTTCTCTTCTCCAAATCACAAACTAATCTCGATGCTGCGGTGCAGCCATGCTGCGTCTCAAATATCTTCCATCCGGATTGGAGTCGAGTTGCTTGACAACTCCGAGACCAAGATGATAGAATGTGGATGCTGCCTCAAATAGCCATCACCATCCGGATTGGAGTTGAGCATTCTGACTTCGAAAGCTGGATGATGTAGATCACACGTTGGACGTCGGACGCCCCGAAAACTCTCAAGTGTCGCCTCAAACATTGACTCGCTTCAAGGGTTTCTCCCTTTTAAAGCGGTGCACCCGACTCCGAGAGCCTTGGCAGGACAACCTATTGCACAAGTGGTGGAAGGCAAGGTTTGGCCACTCTTCTTTTATCTGCCCGCGATTGATTGCTCGGAAGTTGAAGTAGCTTCTCCTCCGCATTTGAAAGAAGATCTCGAAGAGACGCCACCCTGGGGCGGGTTTCCAGAAGAAGAGTCGGAGCTGCAGCTTTGTGATGAAGACCATGCTCTTTTGGAAGAAGAAGTTGCAAGCTTCTTCGAAGCTGCTCGTCGTTTTCTCAGCTGCTCGCCTTCCAAGGAAGCAACTTCCACTCGCTGTAGAGGCACAACCTCGTTGCTGTTCCTGTTGGAGCTCTTAGTTTAAACCGTTTGACCTTCATTTTGTGAGCCGTAGATCGCCTGATCCATGAGCAGCAACTCCTGAGTGCTTGTCTTTCCATGTCGCTGCACACCAAAGTAACCACCGTAGTAATCTCTCTGTGCATCAGGTGTTGGACGTCGAGAGGAACCAGTTGAAGCTTCCACAAGCTTGTGTAAGTGTAACTGCAGCTGTGGTAGACCAATCGCGAAGCACTTTAAGCACAGAGCTAGCTCAACTCCATCCCTGAAAGCAGGAACCAAGGTAAGAAAAGGAAAAGAAAAAGCGAGACTTATCAGTGATGGTTTGCAGCCACCGTCGTGTTTGACTTCATCAACATCGCCCTGGAAAAACACGAGGCTGCTTTTCTATGTTCCAGGTTGTTGAGAAGTCCCAGTTTTAGAGCACTTCTTCATTCTCGGTGAACCAGCTAAATCCACGAACCATCTGGCGGTCACCACCTGAAGCTGGCTCTTCCAAGCCACAAGACTTTCTATATGGTGTTGACGATCGCAGTGAAAATTTCATCGCCACGAAACTTACCTTGCAGCTGATACTGCGATCGGGATTGCACGCTTATTCTTTGAAAGCTGGATGTCCCTGAGCATCAAACTGCGTGGGTGAACTCCGGTACCATCTATCTTATCCTTGTCCAGTATTGGCAAGCTTTCCACAGCCTAGAGCCTTCCTCAAGCCCTGTCCAACTCCGGATAACCAGACTTGGAGTGGCAAGTCTAAAGTCTCCAGATAAACATCCTCCGTGCCTCTGGCACCATTGAAGTGCCCTGCTTTCACTTATCACTTCTCTCCTCCAGAGCTGCTGCTCTAAACTCAAATCAACCTGTCCGTCGCATTTCACGTCCGTTGTAGCTCTGGTTTTCCTCTGCTCCATGAGAAGATAAAGTGATTTATCTCCTACCCCTTGAAATCAATCGTTCCCGAGCTACAAGTTGTCGATTATGACAAGCTGACAAGCTGAGAGGCGATAGAGTAACCACCGTAGAATGGATGCTGCATCTAGAAAAGCGCTCATTTGTTGAACCACAGAGCTAGCACACTTTCTCCTTCAAGCATTCGCAAGCGTCAGAGACCAGGTATGTCGATCACCCAAAGATGATCGTCCTTTCCCATGGCCAGCAGCTGCCGCTGCCAGTAAGCCTTGGACAGCACGCGCAGGAAGAGCAGCATGAGCAGCGCCACGCTCAGCATGTCAAGAAGAAGCAAGGCGCTCAGGAGATGATGCTCCAGACCCGTGCCCGTGGCGAGCTGGATGCCGCCTCAAGAGTCTTGACGAACCAGCAGGCGCCACAAAAAATACCCAAGCCAGGCAAATGCTGCAACGCATCTTGCTACATGCCCACCAATTCTGCCCTTGACGCTCTTCCTTGCAGGCCGCCATTGTGTATACGAATTCAAGACCAGTGGAGAAGAATGTCATGCCATCCCGTTAAAACAATGCGGCGACGAGGCAAAGCAAGAGCCCTGAAGAAGTGCCCGTGCGGGGCAAATGCTCCAACGTTTCCTGAAATTCCAAGAGCTTTCTCCTTTTCGTAAGGCATGAGCACACAAACATAGACGGATGTCCCTTCTTTTTCCCATGATACATCCAGGCAATGACAGCCCTTCTCACGGATGACCACCACCGGAGCTTGTCCCACGCCCGATCACCACACTTTCACTGCGGCTGCCATGGCTTGCGGAGCTTCTGGCCTCTAGAGATCCCGGCGAGAGGGATTTGCACTCCAAGCTTGGCTGTGACTCTTCCTCGCTGGAACTCTGGTTGAGATGCGGGTCCACGGCTACATCGGGAATGACGACGAGATTTCGCTTGGAATCCCCGTAGCCACCAAGAATCTCCTGGCCTTCTTGGCTGGCTATAGTCGACAAGGAGAGGAGGTGATCGAGGCCAGCCCGATGATCCAAAGCGAGGAACCCAAGTATTGCTGCTGGCTTGCGCGGCATCGCAGACCTGGATTTTATGGATTTCTGGAAACCATCAGTCGTTTAGCTCAACAAGGACTTTCTTCAAAGTTTAAAAGATCATAACATAGGACAACATAGATTGAAATCTAGAGTTCACAAGCAAATGCTGCTAATGCTTATGAAATTATCACTTGTTCGGAGTTGCTCAAAGCATCACTGGTAAAAAAACACAAGCACAGTAAGTGAAAATATCGCTTTTGGGTAGACAGATACCTGAAGAGGAGGAAGGAGCCCTGCGACACTCGTTCAGCATGTCAACATAGAACTGGCAACGACCAATGTCGCTACCATTGCTGCTGATGCACTGGAAAAAAAAAAAGAAAGAAAAGAAAAGTGATGAAAAGCCAAAAAGAAAAAAATAATGCAAGAAAAGAGGGTCTAGTCTCACTTACGTCCTGAAAAGCCTTCATCTGGTTGCTGCAGGCATCAGCGGAAACAGTAGCAAGCGCCGGCGATGCCGGCGATGCCGCAGATTCAGCAACCTCATGCTGCACAGTGCGGGGTCCCATAACCCCGTCAACAGCGCGGTGCGCGATGGCACTGCCGGTTCCAAACGCCATACCTACGTTCACCATCTCAATCAGTTCTTTGATCTTAGAAGAAAAAAAACGAGAGTTCACCATCTCCTTAGATCTTAGAGAGAAAAAAAAGGAGAGAGAGAGAGAACCATCTCCTTAGATCTTAGAGGAGAGAGAGAGAGAGAGAAGAAAAAAACGGAGTCTTTTTCTTTTTTCTAAAGGTAATGGTGACCTATTTTTCAGAGAGATTTTTCTTACCCTGGGCGATGGTACCGGCCAAACCACCCATCATCCCGCCGCCTCCAGCCTGAAGTGGAGCCGGGGGAGGCGCTGGCGCGTGATGAACTGCAGAACAATCAAACCGTAAATGCCGATGAAAAGGAATGAATCTCGAGCACGCGCTTACCGGGCTGGGGGGGCGGAGCGGCCCTCCTGGCTGGGGCGCGAGGAGCTGGTCGAGCTGCAAGACCAGAAAAAAGAAAACGCTTAGAACTGGGAACTGGAATCGCACTGCGCGGCGCATACCACCGCCACGGCTGCGCGGCATCCTTGCGAAGAAGATCGAAAGGCGGCGATAGGCAGAAGAGAGAAAGAAAGGGCACAGTGTGGGAAACCCTCGGGCGCGGGGTGCCCTATATTTTAGCGCATTGCCCGCTGGGAAGGAATATGCTAGCTGGATAATTTTGGCAAATGGAATTATTCCTTTGGCGCCGCATATGATCGAACCCAAGACCACATTATTCTTCTCAGTAACATCACCTTCGCGACACTTTGAACACCACCATTAAAGGCTTTTGATCTAATTGGCACTCTGTTGTCAACTCTGGAGCTTCCATACAACTCTGAAGCGGTTCATCCAAATTATCTCGACCTGTTTCAACTGCCTTTGATTCATCATCTCCCAAGGTGTTAGTCTCAAAACCAAGCTATTCTTCAGCCAATCTCTTTCAGAACCAAGGACGGGCAATCTCTTTGAAACCAAGATAAGTCTTGCTTTCTTTCAGGGAATTTCATGCACCATTTTCCATAAACCAAGCTTTTAACTATCAAGGTTTGCTTTCTCTCAAGCACCATTTTCCATTGTGAATACCAGAAACGCTGAGATTGAGCATGTGATCGACAATGATCTTTCTCGGTATACCCGGAGAATGGTAGTTTTTTTTAAGGTTCTGGCGGCCAGGCTATGTTCCGGAGAATTCTTTTAGTAACTGCTGGCCCATTTCCTTACGTCGTGTTGTGTAGCTATCACGAGGTTTTACGTAACGAGCGCTGACTTAAAAGTTGCCGTTGATCTTACGTAACTTGAGCCATACGTTCAATGACAGCTGTCCTGCTTGAAACTACTCAGTAAGTTCGTGGTCGAGTTCTTAAGCCATCTTACCCTGATCTTGAAGCTCATTGTTCAGGAAAATCCTGAAGATCATGAATAGGAAAATGCTTTCTCTTGCTCTCTTGTTCTTTCAGGTGCTCAGCCTTGCATGCCAGTTAGTGTGGTCCCAAAGCTGTGAACAAATGAGGATCATGGTACCGGCCTACTTCGATCCTTCTTCAAATTCCCAGGCATGGTCTTCTCTCAATTCTGCTGCCACCACGCTACCAAACCGGATCGTAGCAATCGCAAATCCGTCCAATGGTCCAGGCTCTGCAGCTCAATCAAGCTACCAGAATGTTATTACGGCCCTCCAGCGCCAAACAGGCCTGGTTATCGGCTATGTCTCGACTAATTACAGCAACAGAGCTTCCAATTTGGTCCAAGACGACGTCGATACGTGGTACCGCTTCTATCCAACTATCAATGGAATTTTCTTCGACGAAGTTGCCAACACAGACGGGAAGCAGCCTTACTATCAAAGCCTCTACAACTACGTGAAGTCCAAGAATTCGAGCTCTCTAGTGGTTAATAATCCCGGAGCTCCAACCCTGGAGACATACCTCTTCTATAATGGTTCTCGGGTAGCCGATGTGATTTGTATTTTTGAGAGCGGTGTTGGTGGGCTGTCTATGACTCAGAGTTCCTGGACGAGCAATTATTCGAGGTATAACTTTTATGCCCTGTTCTACAATGTCACGGATGTGAATGTGTCAAGCTTTGACTATGGAGATGTTATTGATCGTGCTTACCAGCAGAATGTGGGCTGGGTTTATGTGACCAATGATAGTCTTCCAAATCCGTGGGACACCATAGCCAGCTACTTCTCTGGAGAGGTGGACTATATTAAAAATGATAATCAGTGCTAAGTAACAGAATTACTCACATAAATAATAACAATCAATCTGATGGTCGCCTTTGGAGGAGTTTGCCCCATGGCCAGCTTCTAGCTATGGAAGTAGAGAATATCTTGCTATTGTTTCATCACTTCTCTAGCGGATCTGGGCGAGGTACGTGTGCCAGGAATCGTTTACGATGAACTCGTTCATCTTGCCATTGATCTCGATCCAGCTCCTGCTGCCGGGCTTCTTTATTCCCCGGTCACGCTTATATCAACTTGTGGACCTTGGCGGCCATGTTCCACTTCCCAGCGTCGCTGTAAGGTCCACGAAGCCGCCATGGCTGCAAGCGTAGAGGACGTGCGTGAAGGTGACGCTGTCGGGCTTGTAGCCGTCCTGTTCGATGCTCCATGCCAAAGTGGCCGTTTCTAGCGTAGGCCGAGAAGGTGATGTTGTTGGGCTCGAGCGTCTGGTCGAAGAGCTTCTGGGCCTTAACCCGGCCACGTACATGTTGAGCAGCCAGCGTGGTGTGGAGCACGACGTCGCATGGAGCTGGCGGGCTTCTGGGAGAGCTCGGCGGCGCAGCGGTGGAAGAAAAGCTCCACCGCCTCGCGGACGAGGCCCGGGGGCCGCTGGAGCGCCGCCAGGATGACCTTGATTGGGAGGCGCCTGGTGACGATTCTTGGTTGACGATTCTGGGGAGTCCTGCGCTGCCATAGCAGATGCTCGGCTCCCACGACGAGAACTCGTGCCCCAGGTACCTAAATTATCCTCCATCTTTGAAACTCTTTCTCGCTTATAGACCAAAAGAAAACCAAATAGCTTGCAGCGCGTCCAGACTCTTTATCGATCCTTCACTCTGAGAAACCCTCACCATCGCTTCTTTACGCGCCATCGCTCCGGTGATTCATGCAAATGCCCCATGTCAAGTTCCTCCAGGGTTTTATTTCAAAGCGCCGTGATTCCCGCCAGGAATTCGCAAGGGGCCAGCTCCAGAAATGATGCCTCCCAAGCGCAAGCCCGGTCGGCCTCCAAGGCAGTTCCAGAATGGTCAGTCGCGATCTATGCCTCCATCAAGCGCAAGCCACTATTTAAGCTGGTTGACTTAAAGGTTTACTAAATCTCTCTGATTTTCTTTTCTTGCTTTATCACGATAGTTTCTTCTATTGGATGACTGCTGGCGCGAGGCATTGTGCACTGCGATAGCACTGGTGTTCAGCGTGGTCTCCAGCTTTGGATCAATCTCTCCTCCAGGGTGGACCGCCGCCAGGATGTCCTTGATTGGGAGGCGCCTCGTGAGCATCTAGACTGGGGACTCCTGCGCTGCCATAGCCGATGCTCGGCAAATTCATGGCTGCCCAAGAACTCGTGCCCCAGGTTACCTAAATTATCCTCCAACGCCACTCCAGTTCCACACCCAGGAAGAACCTGTTCTGCATCGAGTGAAAGGTGCCACTCAGCCAAGAATGCAGAGACGATCATGGAACTTGCAACCACATGAACACTTTGCAGATCTTAGTCGCAGGCCGCCTTTTGGCAATCAAGGTATGCGATGCGAAACGGGTCATCGATACATAGGGGTTGGAGACATTTAGAATCAACAGAAACCCGATCTTGTATCTCCGTGCAACCAAACTCAGTAGCCGCCACTGCAGGAGGGTCCTGCACAAAGCTCGCTTTACTGTAAACTCCAGTGCCAAGGAGAGCTTGAGCATCTGCAGCAGCCCCAAGTCGATCAGACTCAGGACGAGAACATTTCGTCACCGTTTGCTCAGCCTCGCAAGGTGGCCCGAATTGCACGAATGCAACCGAATGATAGAGAAGATTTTAAGATTTTAATGCATCAGCGGGAGTTAGGCAAATGCATTTACTTAATTGTAACCTATGTTTAGCTTAAATATTACAACCAAACACAGGTCATTATTTCTTAGATTTCTAGTATTATTATATAGTGGTGGATGGTGATATTGATAAAAAAATGTCAAAATTGAATATGATCTATGCTTAGAAATTTATATTATAGGTAGCGGCAATAAACATGAAAATAGATTATGTGATTTAATGTGATCAAAACTAATTATTCTATATAAACTTATAAAGTTCTACGTGTGTAATGAAAATATATTTGGTAGAGGAAAGGTATACCTCCCAAAAGAGAAGGTATAACTAGGCAAGATATATGCATTTAAAACACATCTACTTCAATTGTTTAAAGACGCATGCTCACCATCTTGCAATTTAGCATTTAGGGTTCCCACCTAAACTCCTCATGGTTCACCCCCTGCTCATTCCATGCCATCATATGCATCATCCCCGCTCATTCTTTGCCACATTATCCTTGCTAGGGTTTTTGATTTCTCTTGCCTGGATTAGGTTGCTGAGCACCATGAGCAAGCCTTTGCTAAGGTATACTGGTCCACATAACTAGTAGTGGATTAGCTTTGGAGGTATCTTAATTTTCTTAATTGCTTCTCAGCGTTTAGGGTTTAAGGTTTAAGCTCCAAGATGCCAACGTGGCATCCAAAAGTAAGGGTTTGCCACGTGGTATGTTTTGAGTACATAAAGTGTGCCACATGGGCTGCATATTGTAGAAAATGTATGCCACGTGGCATGCCACCTCATCTAAACTATCTGTCTGAATCCTTCTAAAAGGTATAGCCCACGGCACAAGCCCTAAACCTAAACAATATCTGTGCTAAATATGTGAACATTAAGTTTTTTATATTGGGATATTAAGTTAGAACTTAAAGTTTTTTATCCGTTTGTTTTTTAGATGCTAAAATATAAGAAAGACAAAAGCTATATGGGCATTTAGTTGCATAATTTGGACATTTAGTTTCATATTTAGTTGCATATTTACTTATAATTGTTTTATGGCCAGGGACTGCCAGAAAAAAATTAAATTCACTAGGACAGAATAAAAAAGGGGACAACAATCAATTTTTTTCTATTGCCATGGCAATTATCTACATTTATCATGTCAAGATCTATTCAATGAAAATAAGATAATTATATGTCTAGTAAGGGAGTGTCTTGCCAAGAAGAAATCATGCTATAATGCAACCAACAAACTCTCCTTGGCACTAGACTGGCATGGAAATACAAGATTGATGATAAATGTGATGTATCGATGAGCCACTTCACATTGCACACTTTGAGTGTGGAAAAGTGGCCTAGGACAGAGATCTGCAAAGTGTTTGTGTGGTTGCAAGTCCCTTGATCATCTCTGCATTCTTGGCTGAATGGCACCTTGCACTCAATGCAGAACAACACCTAGGGATGTTCTTGATGTCCAACAAAGCCTGAAACCATGACGGCTGATGCATTGCTATTGTTTTCTAGCTCTATTTGCAAAACATGAAGCTTTACCATTTAGATTTTGATTCGGAGGAGAAAAACCTTCCAGAGAAGATATTGCTAGAATTAATTGAAAAACTCAATAAGAACGAATAGAAAGAAAAGAAAATCTGGCTTACCTGGAGAAATCTTGGATCTTCATTTATTCATAAACTGTTTACACACTTTGCACTCTTGATCTTTGGTGCCCCTGCTTAAAGACAATTATATTTTCAATATTGAAGAAAAGGCTTGTCAACTTTTCTAATGAGGATCTGACATGGCGGCTGACGCCTATGACTAGGACATTGAGCCATTTGTGGGACCCAAATTTGTGGGACCAGGGAAGCTTCCCTCTGGATGGAAGGTATGCCGCAATCGCATTTGTGGATTCAAGATTATCTGACGGCGTACCTGGCAACCAAATCTCATCACCGTGAATTTGATTGTGGCGAGCGAGCGATGCCACCAACGAGGCTGCCGCCGCGGTGGAGAATAGGAGAGCACCAGCCCTCAAGATGGAGAATCAGAAACGCTGAAGGATCTTTCTCGGTTGTACCGTAGTTTTCTTCAAGGTTCCGGCTGCCAGGCTATGTTCCGGAGAATTCTTTTAGTATGGGCTTTGATCCATCTGTAGTTGAGCTACTGGCAAGGTGATGCATTTCCTTTTCTCTCTATGGTGTTTTTATTGTGTTTTGCTAGCAATGCATGAACTGCTGGTACGTCGATGTTGTGTAGCTATCATGTTCGCTGCGAAGTTTGGTCTTGGTTACATAACGAGCTTTGACTTAAGAAGTTGCCGTTGATCTTACTTAACTTGAGCCATAAGTTCAATGACAGCTGTCCTGCTTGAAACTACTCAGTATCGAGTTCTTAAGCCATCTTACCCTGATCTTGAAGCTCATTGTTCAGGAAAAACCTGAAGATCATGAATAGGAAAATGCTTTCTCTTGCTCTCTTGTTCTTCCAGGTGCTCAGCCTTGCATGCCAGTTAGTGTGGTCCCAAAGATGTGAAAAAATGAGGATCATGGTACCGGCCTACTTCGATCCTTCTTCAAATTCCCAGGCATGGTCTTCTCTCAATTCTGCTGCCACCACGCTACCAAACCGGATCGTAGCAATCGCAAATCCGTCCAATGGTCCAGGCTCTGCAGCTCAATCAAGCTACCAGAATGTTATTACGGCCCTCCAGCGCCAAACAGGCCTGGTTATCGGCTATGTCTCGACTAATTACAGCAACAGAGCTTCCAATTTGGTCCAAGACGACGTCGATACGTGGTACCGCTTCTATCCAACTATCAATGGAATTTTCTTCGACGAAGTTGCCAACACAGACGGGAAGCAGCCTTACTATCAAAGCCTCTACAACTACGTGAAGTCCAAGAATTCGAGCTCTCTAGTGGTTAATAATCCCGGAGCTCCAACCCTGGAGACATACCTCTTCTATAATGGTTCTCGGGTAGCCGATGTGATTTGTATTTTTGAGAGCGGTGTTGGTGGGCTGTCTATGACTCAGAGTTCCTGGACGAGCAAGTATTCGAGGTATAACTTTTATGCCCTGTTCTACAATGTCACGGATGTGAATGTGTCAAGCTTTGACTATGGAGATGTTATTGATCGTGCTTACCAGCAGAATGTGGGCTGGGTTTATGTGACCAATGATAGTCTTCCAAATCCGTGGGACACCATAGCCAGCTACTTCTCTGGAGAGGTGGACTATATTAAAAATGATAATCAGTGCTAAGTAACAGAATTACTCACATAAATAATAACAATCAATCTGATGGTCGCCTTTGGAGGAGTTTGCCCCATGGCCAGCTTCTAGCTATGCAAGTAGAGAATATCTTGCTTCTCATCCTCTTCGGCGTCATGCAGCCTTTTCTTTGTATCAGGTATGTAGACGTATTGTTTCATCACTTCTCTGGTAGATCTAGTTACAGGTGCCAGGAATAGCTTACGATTAGCTCGTTCATCTTGCCATTGATCTCGATCCAGCTCCTGCTGCCGGGCTTCTTTATTCCCCGGTCACGCTGATATCAACTTGTGGACCTTGGCGGCCATGTTCCACTTCCCAGCGTCGCTGTAAGGTCCACGAAGCCGCCATGGCTGCAAGCGTAGAGGACGTGCGTGAAGGTGACGCTGTCGGGCTTGTAGCCGTCCTGTTCGATGCTCCATGCCAAAGTGGCCGTTTCTAGCGTAGGCCGAGAAGGTGATGTTGTTGGGCTCGAGCGTCTGGTCGAAGAGCTTCTGGGCCTTAACCCGGCCACGTACATGTTGAGCAGCGTGGTGTGGAGCACGACGTCGCATGGAGCTGGCGGGCTTCTGGGAGAGCTCGGCGGAAGAAAAGCTCCACCGCCTCGCGGACGAGGCCCGGGGGCCGCTGGAGCGCCGCCACGATGACCTTGATTGGGAGGCGCCTGGTGACGATTCTTGGTTGACGATTCTGGGGAGTCCTGCGCTGCCATAGCAGATGCTCGGCTCCCACGACGAGAACTCGTGCCCCAGGTACCTAAATTATCCTCCATCTTTGGAACTCTTTCTCGCTTATAGACCAAAAGAAAACCAAATAGCTTGCAGCGCGTCCAGACTCTTTATCGATCCTTCACTCTGAGAAACCCTCACCATCGCTTCTTTACGCGCCATCGCTCCGGTGATTCATGCAAATGAAGTTCCTCCAGGGTTTTATTTCAAAGCGCCGTGATTCCCGCCAGGAATTCGCAAGGGGCCAGCTCCAGAAATGATGCCTCCCAAGCGCAAGCCCGGTCGGCCTCCAAGGCAGTTCCAGAATGGTCAGTCGCGATCTATGCCTCCATCAAGCGCAAGCCCGCCCAGCTACAGGCACTATTTAAGCTGGTTGACTTAAAGGTTTGCTAAATCTCTCTGATTTTCTTTTCTTGCTTTATCACGATAGTTTCTTCTATTGGATGACTGCTGGCGCGAGGCATTGTGCACTGCGATAGCACTGGTGTACAGCGTGGTCTCCAGCTTTGGATCAATCTCTCCTCCAGGGTGGACCGCCGCCAGGATGTCCTTGATTGGGAGGCGCCTCGTGAGCATCTAGTCTGGGGACTCCTCGCGCTGCCATAGCCGATGCTCGGCAAATTCATGGCTGCCCAAGAAGTCGTGCCCCAGGTTACCTAAATTATCCTCCAACGCCACTCCAGTTCCACACCCAGGAAGAACCTGTTCTGCATCGAGTGAAAGGTGCCACTCAGCCAAGAATGCAGAGACGATCATGGAACTTGCAACCACATGAACACTTTGCAGATCTTAGTCGCAGGCCGCCTTTTGGCAATCAAGGTATGCGATGCGAAACGGGTCATCGATACATAGGGGTTGGAGACATTTAGAATCAACAGAAACCCGATCTTGTATCTCCGTGCAACCAAACTCAGTAGCCGCCACTGCAGGAGGGTCCTGCACAAAGCTCGCTTTACTGTAAACTCCAGTGCCAAGGAGAGCTTGAGCATCTGCAGCAGCCCCAAGTCGATCAGGCTCAGGACGAGAACATTTCGTCACCGTTTGCTCAGCCTCGCAAGGTGGCCCGAATTGCACGAATGCAACCGAATGATAGAGAAGATTTTAAGATTTTAATGCATCAGCGGGAGTTAGGCAAATGCATTTACTTAATTGTAACCTATGTTTAGCTTAAATGTTACAACCAAACTAAATCGGCACAGGTCATTATTTCTTAGATTTCTAGTATTATTATATAGTGGTGGATGGTGATATTCATAAAAATTTGTCAAAATTGAATATGATCTATGCTTAGAAATTTATATTATAGGTAGCGGCAATAAACATGAAAATAGATTATGTGATTTAATGTGATCTAAACTAATTATTCTATATAAACTTATAAAGTTTTACGTGTGTAATGAAAATATATTTGGCAAGCAATATGTGATTGCAGGTATTAGAGGAAAGGTATACCTCCCAAAAGAGAAGATATAACTAGGCAAGATATATGCATTTAAAACACATCTACTTCAATTGTTTAAAGACGCATGCTCACCATCTTGCAATTTAGCATTTAGGGTTCCCACCTAAACTCCTCATGGTTCACCCCCTGCTCATTCCATGCCATCATATGCATCATCCCGAGCTTAAACCTTAAACCCTAAACGCTGAGAAGCAATTAAGAAAATTAAGATACCTCCAAAGCTAATCCACTACTAGCCAGTATACCTTAGCAAAGGCTTGCTCATGGTGCTCAGCAACCTAATCCAGGCAAGAGAAATCAAAAACCCTAGCAAGGATAATGTGGCAACGTGGCATCCAAAGGTAAGGGTTTGCCACGTGGCATGTTTTGAGTACATAAAGTGTGCCACATGGGCTGCATATTGTAGAAAATGTATGCCACGTGGCATGCCACCTCATCTAAACTATCTGTCTGAATCCTTCTAAAAGGTATAGCCCACGGCACAGCCCTAAACCTAAAATCAATATCTGTGCTAAATATGTGAACATTAAGATTTTTATATTGGGATATTAAGTTAGAACTTAAAGTTTTTTATCCGTTTGTTTTTTAGATGCTAAAATAACTTTAGATTCTTCATAAGTTAGTTGCATATTATATTTACATAATTTGGACATTTAGTTTCATATTTAGTTGCATATTTACTTATAATTGTTTTATGGCCAGGGACTGCCAGAAAAAAATTAAATTCACTAGGACAGAATAAAAAAGGGGACAACAATCAATTTTTTTCTATTGCCATGGCAATTATCTACATTTATCATGTCAAGATCTATTCAATGAAAATAAGATAATTATATGTCTAGTAAGGGAGTGTCTTGCCAAGAAGAAATCATGCTATAATGCAACCAACAAACTCTCCTTGGCACTAGAACTGGCATGGAAATACAAGATTAGGTTATTATTGATGATAAATGTGATGTATCGATGAGCCACTTCACATTGCACACTTTGAGTGTGGAAAAGTGGCCTAGGACAGAGATCTGCAAAGTGTTTGTGTGGTTGCAAGTCCCTTGATCATCTCTGCATTCTTGGCTGAATGGCACCTTGCAGGGATGTTCTTGATGTCCAACAAAGCCTGAAACCATGAAGGCTGATGCATTGCTATTGTTTTCTAGCTCTATTTGCAAAACATGAAGCTTTACCATTTAGATTTTGATTTGGAGGAGAAAAACCTTCCAGAGAAGATATTGCTAGAATTAATTGAAAAACTCAATAAGAACGAATAGAAAGAAAAGAAAATCTGGCTTACCTGGAGAACAAGGGGAAATCTTGGATCTTCATTTATTCATAAACTGTTTACACACTTTGCACTCTTGATTTTTGGTGCCCCTGCTTAAAGACAATTATATTTTCAATATTGAAGAAAAGGCTTGTCAACTTTTCTAATGAGGATCTGACATGGCGGCTGACGCCTATGACTAGGACATTGAGCCATTTGTGGGACCCAAATTTGTGGGACCAGGGAAGCTTCCCTCTGGATGGAAGGTATGCCGCAATCGCATTTGTGGATTCAAGATTATCTGACGGCGTACCTGGCAACCAAATCTCATCACCGTGAATTTGATTGTGGCGAGCGAGCGATGCCACCAACGAGGCTGCCGCCGCGGTGGAGAATAGGAGAGCACCAGCCCTCAAGATGGAGAATCAGAAACGCTGAAGGATCTTTCTCGGTTGTACCGTAGTTTTCTTCAAGGTTCCGGCTGCCAGGCTATGTTCCGGAGAATTCTTTTAGTATGGGCTTTGATCCATCTGTAGTTGAGCTACTGGCAAGGTGATGCATTTCCTTTTCTCTCTATGGTGTTTTTATTGTGTTTTGCTAGCAATGCATGAACTGCTGGTACGTCGAGCTATCATGTTCGCTGCGAAGTTTGGTCTTGCTTACGTAACGAGCTTTGACTTAAGAAGTTGCCGTTGATCTTACTTAACTTGAGCCATAAGTTCAATGACAGCTGTCCTGCTTGAAACTACTCAGTATCGAGTTCTTAAGCCATCTTACCCTGATCTTGAAGCTCATTGTTCAGGAAAAACCTGAAGATCATGAATAGGAAAATGCTTTCTCTTGCTCTCTTGTTCTTCCAGGTGCTCAGCCTTGCATGCCAGTTAGTGTGGTCCCAAAGATGTGAAAAAATGAGGATCATGGTACCAGCCTACTTCGATCCTACTTCAAATTCCCAGGCATGGTCTTCTCTCAATTCTGCTGCCACCACGCTACCAAACCGGATCGTAGCAATCGCAAATCCGTCCAATGGTCCAGGCTCTGCAGCTCAATCAAGCTACCAGAATGTTATTACGGCCCTCCAGCGCCAAACAGGCCTGGTTATCGGCTATGTCTCGACTAATTACAGCAACAGAGCTTCCAATTTGGTCCAAGACGACGTCGATACGTGGTACCGCTTCTATCCAACTATCAATGGAATTTTCTTCGACGAAGTTGCCAACACAGACGGGAAGCAGCCTTACTATCAAAGCCTCTACAACTACGTGAAGTCCAAGAATTCGAGCTCTCTAGTGGTTAATAATCCCGGAGCTCCAACCCTGGAGACATACCTCTTCTATAATGGTTCTCGGGTAGCCGATGTGATTTGTATTTTTGAGAGCGGTGTTGGTGGGCTGTCTATGACTCAGAGTTCCTGGACGAGCAAGTATTCGAGGTATAACTTTTATGCCCTGTTCTACAATGTCACGGATGTGAATGTGTCAAGCTTTGACTATGGAGATGTTATTGATCGTGCGTACCAGCAGAATGTGGGCTGGGTTTATGTGACCAATGATAGTCTTCCAAATCCGTGGGACACCATAGCCAGCTACTTCTCTGGAGAGGTGGACTATATTAAAAATGATAATCAGTGCTAAGTAACAGAATTACTCACATAAATAATAACAATCAATCTGATGGTCGCCTTTGGAGGAGTTTGCCCCATAGCCAGCTTCTAGCTATGGAAGTAGAGAATGTCTTGCTTCTCATCCTCTTCGGCGTCATGCAGCCTTATTCTTTGTATCAGGTATGTAGACGTATTGTTTCATCACTTCTCTGGTAGATCTAGTTACAGGTGCCAGGAATAGCTTACAATTAGCTCGTTCATCTTGCCATTGATCTCGATCCAGCTCCTGCTGCCGGGCTTCTTTATTCCCTGGTCACGGTGATGTCAACTTGTGGACCTTGGCGGCCATGTCCCACTTCCCAGCGTCGCTGTAAGGTCCACGAAGCCGCCATGGCTGCAAGTGTAGAGGACGTGCGTGAAGGTGACACTGTCGGGCTTGTAGCCGTCCTGTTCGATGCTCCATTCCAAAGTGGCCGTAGGTCGAGAAGGTGATGTTGTTGGGCTCGAGCGTCTGGTCGAAGAGCTTCTGGGCCTTAACCTGGCCACGCACATGTTGAGCAGCGTGGTGTGGAGCATACTTGCATCTGAACACAACCGGATTTGAACGGGTATCGAATGTTTAATACCTGTTTAGCTTTAATTCAAAGCGTCGCGGACGAGGCCCGGGGGCCGCTGGAGCGCCGCCAGGATGACCTTGATTGGGAGGCGCCTGGTGGGCATCTGGGTTGACGATTCTGGGGTATAGACCAAAAGAAAACCAAATGACTTGGCGCGCGCATTCTCTAAATTCACGTACTCCAGATTCTCTATCGATCCTTCAATCTAAGAAACCCTCACACTCGCTTCTTTGCCCGCCATCGCTCCGGTGAGTCATGCATAAGCCCGCTTCGGTCAGAAGCATTTCTTGTCAAATTCCTCCACGTTTGTATTTGAAAGCGCCGTGATTCCCGCCAGGAAAGCGGTCTCCCGCTGCTCAAGAAATCTCTCGCAGCGACGATGCCACAGATGGTTTCTCTCGAGGCCACGCCTCCAAAGCGCAGCACGGTCGACGTCGCAAGGGGCCAGCTCCAGAAATGATGCCCTCCCAAGCGCAAGCCCGGTCGGCCTCCAAGGCAGTTCCAGAATGGTCAGTCGCGATCTATGCCTCCATCAAGCGCAAGCCTGCCCAGCTCCAAACTCGTCGACAGGCACTATTTAAGCTGGTTGACTTAAAGGTTTACTAAATCTCTCTGATTTTCTTTTCTTGCTTTATCACGATAGTTTCTTCTATTGGATGACTGCTGGCGCGAGGCATTGTGCACTGCGATAGCACTGGTGTACAGCGTGGTCTCCAGCTTTGGATCAATCTCTCCTCCAGGATGGAGCGCCGCCAGGATGTCCTTGATTGGGAGGCGCCTCGTGAGCATCTAGTCTGGGGACTCCTGCGCTGCCATAGCCGATGCTCGGCAAATTCATGGCTGCCCAAGAGCTCGTGCCCCAGGTTACATAAATTATCCTTCAACGCCACTCCAGTTCCACACCCAGGAAGAACCTGTTCTGCATCGAGTGCAAGGTGCCACTCAGCCAAGAATGCAGAGACGATCATGGAACTTTCAACCACATGAACACTTTGCAGATCTTAGTCGCAGGCCGCCTTTTGGCAATCAAGGTGTGCGATGCGAAACGGGTCATCGATACATAGGGGTTGGAAACATTTAGAATCAACAGAAACCCGATCTTGTATCTCTGCCGCCACTGCAGGAGGGTCCTGCACAAAGCTCGCTTTACTGTAAACTCCAGTGCCAAGGAGAGCTTGAGCATCTGCAGCAGCCCCAAGTCGATCAGGTTCAGGACGAGAACATTTCGTCACCGTTTGCTCAGCCTCGCAAGGTGGCCCGAATTGCACGAATGCAACCGAATGATAGAGAAGATTTTAAGATTTTAATGCATCAGCGGGAGTTAGCCAAATGCATTTACTTAATTGTAACCTATGTTTAGCTTAAATGTTACAATATTTCTTAGATTTCTAGTATTATTATATAGTGGTGGATGGTGATATTCATAAAAAATTTTGTCAAAATTGAATATGATCTATGCTTAGAAATTTATATTATAGGTAGCGGCAATAAACATGAAAATTGATTTAATGTAATTATTCTATATAAACTTTTAAAGTTCTACAAAGTTTATTTGAAAAAAATTTGTGTAATAAAAATATATTAGTCATTTGGTATGGCAAGCAATATGTGATTGCAAGTATTAGGGGAAAGGTATACCTCCCAAAAGGGAAGGTATATCTAAGCAAGATATATGACGATCTTGTGAATGGTCAAAGTGTGAACTAAATGTCCCAAGTAGAATATTCTTTTTAATCAATGCCCCTCATGGTGATGCCATACATCACCCACGCTCATTCCATGCCACCATATGCATCATCCCCGCTCATTCTTTGCCTTGCTAGGGTTTTTGATTTCTCTTGCTTGGTATATTGGTCCACATAACTAGTAGTGGATTAGCTTTGGAGGTATCTTAATTTTCTTAATTGCTTCTCAGGGTTTAGGGTTATTTTTCCAGCAAGATTATTCCCGCCAGGAAAGCGTTCTCTCGCTGCTTATTGGAGGCGTTCTCCAATAAGCGTTCTTATTGGCCACGCCTCCCAAGCGCAGCACGGTCGACCTCGCAAGGGGCCAGCGAAATGATGCCTCCCAAGCGCAAGCCCGGTCGGCCTCCAAGGCAGTTCTAGAATGGTCAGTCGCGATCTATGCCTCCATCAAGCGCAAGCCCGCCCAGCTCCAAACTCAAGCTATTCAAGCTGGTTGACTTAAGGGTTTACTAAATCTCTCTGATTTTCTTTCTTGCTTTATCATGATAGTTTCTTCTATTGGATGGCTGCTGGCATTGTGCACTGCGATAGCACTGGTGTACAGCGTGGTCTCCAGCTTTGGATCAATCTCTCCTCCAGGGTGGACCGCCGCCAGGATGTCCTTGATTGGGAGGCGCCTCGTGAGCATCTAGTCTGGGGACTCCTGCGCTGCCATAGCCGATGCTCGGCAAATTCATGGCTGCCCAAGAAGTCGTGCCCCAGGTTACCTAAATTATCCTCAAACGCCACTCCAGTTCCACACCCAGGAAGAACCTGTTCTGCATCGAGTGCAAGGTGCCACTCAGCCAAGAATGCAGAGACGATCATGGAAGCAACCACATGAACACTTTGCAGATCTTAGTCGCAGGCCATCAAGGTATGCGACGCGAAACGGGTCATCGATACATTGGGGTTGGAAACATTTAGAATCAACAGAAACCCGATCTTGTATCTCCGTGCAACCAGACTCAGTAGTCTGCCGCCACTGCAGGAGGGTCCTGCACAAAGCTCGCTTTACTGTAAACTCCAGTGCCAAGGAGAGCTTGAGCATCTGCAGCAGCCCCAAGTCGATCAGGCTCAGGACGAGAACATTTCGTCACCGTTTGCTCAGCCTCGCAAGGTGGCCCGAATTGCACGAATACAACCGAATGATAGAGACTGTCGTGAGCTCAACGATCATCAAGCCCAAGTGGTCCTTCGGCCTCCCAAGGCGAAGGCTCAGTGCAACAGGAAACGAAAGCCACTGAGGCGAGGAGGATGAACGAAGAAGTATGTGCGTTAGTGCCTTGTCCAGCCTGAGAAGCCTAAAGCTCCTGCTCTTCAAGGATTTAGAAAGCGGGCCAGGAAAGGTATCCCAACAAGATCACCCATGGTTTAAAATTTTCTGGCTTGTCAGGCTGAACGGTTTTAGTAAAAATTGTTTGATGTCTGGTTTCTGGCAATCCGCTGTCTTTGATACTTCGAAGTTCTTGTGGTGATTGTTTGGTGTGTGCAGGAGGAGATTGATCTGGAGCAAAGAAAGACGCAACGAAGTGAAAGAAGGTCTTATTAGCCCCTCAGAGCTGCAGTCCGTCACCTTAATTTCTAGACGAGGCTGGCAGGAAATATAAAGCCACAACAATGTGGCTTGCTGCTTCCGTGACGAAGAAAGGTTCTGAGAGCATTCTCGCCCTGATGCCCAGCCAGAATTTTTTTTCCGCAAGGGTCGGTTTATCAAACATTTAGCAATGAACAGAACAATTCTAAAGAGGAAAAAAAGAAACTAGTATGGATGAATTTAAAGATACCACTTTCAGCGCGTCCATCCTCACTGCGAGATCCTTGCACGCCTACTTGAGCGATTGAAATCTCTTGCGACAAGCACCAAATCTTTTAGTTTCAAACTTAAGTTTATAAAACAATCACACGCAAGAGCACTGAGCAGCCTTCTAAATCCAATCCTAAAGCCTTTGTAGTCCCGGATCCCCTCTATTATTATATCCTCCCGCGTGTTCATGACGAAGGGGCCGTGCTAGTTGAGAGGCTGCCCGGCGATGCAGAGCACGAACCTACAAGGTGTGTCCGAGGACCGAATCGTTCCACACCATGACGACACCGTCACCGTGGCTCACCTCCTGCATGCTTACGTCAAGGTATATAGCGACGAGATGCCCATGGCTATGACTTTGACACTGGTGCCGTCTTTCTACCACTGGTATGCTCTAGTGCTATCGCAGTGCACAATGCCTCGCACCAGCAGTATAAAGCAAGGAAAGAATTCAGAGAGATTTAGCAAACCTTTAAACGAGTTTGGAGCTGGGCGATCGCTGGGGGCTTGCGCTTGGTGGAGGCATATAGATCACGACTGACCATTCTGGAACTGCCACAGCGAGAGAACGCTTTCCTGCCGGGAATCACGGCGCTTTGAATGGAAGTCCCTGGAGGGCTTCTCTAACTTCACAGAATAGTCTTTGTAAGACGCCGCATTTGCATGAATCACTGGAGCTGAATTGCGCAAAGAAGCGATGGTGAAGGTTTCTTATAGTGAAGGATCGAGGGAGAATCTGGAGTACAGGAATTTAGAGAATGCTATTTGACGGCTGATGCATTGCTATCGTTTTGTAGCTCTATTTTCAAAACACGAAGCTTTTCCATTCAGATTTAGATTCTGAGGAGAAAGACCTTCCAGCAAAGAGATTGCTGATGGTGAGAATCAATAGCTGAAAAACTCAATGAGAACCATACTTGCATCCGAACATTCGAACCCAACTGGATTCGAACGGGTATTGAATGTTTAATACCTGTTTAGCTTTTTTTTGAACGGGTATAATGGTTTTCAGTTTTAATATAATTAAAAAATAATTAACTGTTACTAAAAAAAGTTTAACATAATATAATATAGTTTTAATCTAATCTTCATCCTCCGAATCTAGAACATCATCACCACTAGCGCCATCGTCATCAGGTTGTTGAAGAGGTTCTTCAACAACCTCCTGAAGTGCAAGGATCCTTTGCCACTGAGGTTCAAGCTCAAGGTTATCAAGATCATGCTCGATAAGCCTCAAACTCCTGGACTTGATCTTCTGTATGACACACATATTTGTGTGCACAAAAACCAGCTTCTCCAAGTTTTTGAAGAGTAGTCGAGACCTCCTCTTCGTCTGGATCATGCTCCATGAACTCCAGTTTCGCTCGCATGGTGAAGCACAAACTGGCTGACTTAAGATCCGTAAAGCAAGCCTTTGAAGTTCTGGTGTGCCTGAACCAAAGTTGCTCCACCAACTCACCAGGTGTTTTCGGTTCTCCATCTATACAAAAGAATCAGTCTAAAAAGTTGATAAACAAACAATTTATATGCACCTGCTTTGTTGCCTCCGAAGAGAACAAACGGCCAAGTTGTTGATGGAAACTTTGAAACTCGTGCAGCAGCTTGTGTTGAAGTCCTCGATCTCCTTTGCAATACAACTCTAGGTACTCCACAAAATCTTCCTGAGCCTCCTGGTCGAGAGGGAGATGAAGAAAAGCTGGGTTCAAATCAAAAGCAGCTCCATGCAAGATCGAATGCATCTGGAACCAACAAGCTGCTTTCCGACCTCCCTCACCATGATCCTCCATCATGAACCTGTTGATCTCCTCGACCTCTTCCTCGACTAAAATCCCAGTCTCAACAGCCTCTGAAAGCTTCTCATTCATCCGGTCCATAGCCTCGAAAATGAGACCCAAAGTTGCCCCTTCCCAGTCCGCAAGCTTCAAGACCTTGAGGAGCGGTCCAAGCAGCACCAACAAGTGCTGGCACCTAGTCCAGAAAGAGTTCGGAGTCTCTTCTAAGATCCGAGTTCGAATGCGCTGGGCTTTGGCGGTCTTTGTGACGTCCAATCGCCGCCACTCCGGAGCTCACAACCATCTCCTTCAATGCCTCCAAGGTCGTCAGATTCAGGAGCTGAGACATCACTAGAAACATGTAAGCGAACCTTGTGCTTACCGGCTTGATGAGATCCCGATTGCTCAGCTTCCGAAACAAAGCCAGAACACGAGGTTTTTTGGTGATAAAAGTTACCACCTCGTTGCAGCCTTTCACCAATGGTTTTACCCATGACAAGCTCCCGATGTCTTCGAAGAGAAGGTCCAAGACGTGGCACACACACCGGCTGTGGAGAATGTGAGGATACTCAGTTGTCATGAGTTCTCCCATTTGCACACAATTTGATGCATTGTCAGTGATCACCTGAACAACGTTTTCTTCGCCAACTTCTTGAATCACTTTTTTCAGCTCGACCCAAATCCACTCTCCCGTCTTTGTCCTGCCCTCGGAATCTACAGACTTCAAGAAAACCGAACCCTGGACGTTGGAGGCCATGAAGTTGATCACGGATCGGCTACGGTTGTCAGACTAGCCATCGGTGACGATGATAACTCCATATCTTCTCCACCCCTCACGGATTGGTTCAAGTCGAGCATTGACACTATCATAAACCTTCTTCAGCTGTGTACTTCGCAGCTTCTCATATCCCATCATCTGTGCAAGAGCTCCAAGGCCAAAGTCGATAGCAGCTTGAAGCAACTTCCTCAGATTTGGCCTCCGAATGGTGTTGAAAGGGATATTTTCAACATAGAAGAACTTGGCCACGGCATCATCCAAACATTGAACCTTTGCAGACTTCATCATCTTTTGAATGTCACCATCCAGCGCTGGTGCAGCACTTCGTTTAAGACTGCTGCTCCCAGAAAGTGGAACGCTGCCGCTGCTTGCCTCGCCCAGCCCTCCAGTAGCCCCACCACTTGCCCCGCAGCTGGCACCGCCGCTCACCTCACCGACCTCAATCTCGTGAGCTAAGGCAAGTCTCGCTTGGGGACTTGCTGCAATCATGGAGCTCTTCGTGAGCTCCACACGATTAAAAGATGCCCGAGCCTTGTTCACCACTTCCAGTGGCACCTATCCTGTACAAATCTCTACATTCCTTCCTTTCACACCCCCAAGGTGAGCGCGAACTCGTTCAGCTGCGCCGGTGTAAGTATTCAAGCAATACTTACACTTCCATGGACTCACGCCATGGCTTGTCTCGGATATTGGCCTCAGTTTCAGAACATGAGCCCAACTCCAGCATGGCTGCCTTCCTGCCCCCATCCCAGACTTACCTCAGCGCTTCGCTTCTGGATCCTGCGATACAGGAACCCTAATCCTATCGCTTCTGGATCCTGCGATACAGGAACCCTAATCCTAAGTAAAAGAAAGCATATTCTTTAGGATTTTTTAAAAATATTCTTGGTGTTTAAACGCCATATTATATGCCGTATTATACGCGCGTTTTAAACGGCATTTTTTATTAATCGTACCGGTTAGAATGCAAGTATGATGAGAACGAATAGAAAGAGAAAAAATCTGGCTTACCTGGAGAACAAGGGGAAATCTTCGATCTTCTTGACAAAAACGAGTCTGGATTAAGTTGCAGATCACCAAGCTCGACGATGCTCCACCTCAACCCTGAATCGGACACGACCGTGGATGGGAGCGTTGAACGGCATGTCCTCACCGTTTGACAGCGTTGACTATGGGCCACAGAAATTGATTGCCCCGGCATTGTGAGCTTAAGAATGTGAAGATTAGATTTTGATTTATTTGACTTCATATCAACTTTTCTTTTAGCAATAGTTATTACAACACAGTAAATTTTATTAATTCATTTTGATAAAATTAAAAACCTCTTTTATTTAATAATAATAATAATAATAATAATAATAATAATGAAAGCCATTATCCTACTAGGTAAGCTTAATTACGTGGCTGCTGACTGGTATGACTAGGACATTGACGTGTACGGCAATGTAAACGCTCCGCTAAGGACACGGCCCTTCAAGAATTAACTTTGTGGGACAGAGGAACCCTAGGGGCGGCAGAAGCTGCCGGGGAAGCGCCAGGAGAATTGTGTGGCGGCACGCACGCTCTTGGCTTGTGCGCTCCCTCTGGATGGAAGGTGCGCCGCGATCGCGTTTGTGGATTCTAGATTGTGTGACGAGATTTCGGTCCAGGTACGCCACGGATTTGAGTGTGGCGAGCGAGCGATGCCGCAGCGCCTCCCTTACAACGAGGCTGCCGCCGCGGTGGAGAATCAAGAGGAGAGCACCAGCCCCCGGAGCGAGAGGCAGGATGAGAGGAGCAAGTGGAGGCTGCGAGGATTGCTGTGGAGAATGCAACTCGGTGTTCTTCCCTGCCGCTGCGATTCCGTGGATTCCTTGCGTAGGGCTGCCGCCGATGGACGCCGGAGGTGAGTGATGAGTTCTTTCCTTGTACTGCGCTCTTTTTCATTGTCTAGCTTAAAATATAGGTAGGGGGCTTTTGTCAGTGTGGTTTTTCATCCCTCTCGACCTTGCTTTCGCAGGTACGCAGATCTACGAAGGCGATTGTTGGTCGATCCGCATCTCATGGAGGAGGGCCAGAAGCCACCCGACGTCAGCATGGATAATCCACTTTCTTTAGATCCTGGTGAGAGCTGGAGAAGTGCATGAGTCAATGGATTGGCAAGATTTGTGGAACTGTAAGATTTTTTTTTTTCTTGTTGTTCTTGCTGAGGAATTTAGCTCTAGAGAAGAAGGCGGTCCCTCCCAACTAGCTAGCTTTATCTGTGTGTGTCATACGTTCTTGTCTTATGTGTGGTTATTTTCTTTTGTTCTTACTGAGCCAGTGTCTTTGTCTTGGCAGACAGTGTGTGGGGCAAGTATTTCAGAAACGCTGAGATCGAGCGTGTGATCGACAAGGATCTTTCTCGGTTATACCCGGAGCATGGTAGCTTTTTTCAAGGCTCTGGCTGCCAGGCTATGTTCCGGAGAATTCTTTTAGTATGGGCTTTGATCCATCCGCAGTTGAGCTACCGGCAAGGTAATGCATTTCCTTTCCTCTCCATTGTTTTCTTATTGTGTTTTTCTAGGAATGCACGAACTGCTGGCTCCACTTCTTTACGTACTTCACGTCGATGTCATGCAGCTATCACAAATCAAGAAGCGGTACGAGGACCTGTTCGACGACAGGTTTGATGAAGACGGAGAATACAAGTCGTCAAGAATGAAATCACCTTTCGATCTTTCTGAGGCTGAAGACTCACAGGGGGTGAATGGTTATCAGGACAGTCAGGGGATCTTCGAGCATGATGAGTTGAACGTCGATCTCAAGGTCATCGTCAAGGGTAGTGATACTTATGGAGCAGAGGGAGAGCTCGGGGCCTTGTTCGCGGCGAGGTTTATGGAACATGACGCTTACTGCATGTTCGATGCGTTGCTGGGTGGTCGGGGCGGCGCGGTTCGTATGATCGACTACTTTGTTACGTCAGGTGTTCCAGATGCATCATCGGCTCTTTACCGCACCTTAGCCGCTGCCGACATCGCTCTCTACACGCAGCTTGTGGCACTTGGCGTGCAACCTCAGTACTTTGCTCTTCGATGGCTTCGGCTACTTTTTGGACGCGAGTTTGGCCTGGAGGATTTGCTTCTGGTCTGGGATGCCATTTTTGCTGCATCCAATGAGGCTATTCTCCCGCCTGGTGACTCCGCAGCGGACGGCAGCCTTTCGTCGAGAAGTGCAATCATCTCTGCAATTGCGGTGTCACTTTTGCTTCACTCGCGTGCTGCTCTACTCGCTGCTCCCGACGCCACCGGATGTTTGGAAAGGCTTTTAAACTCACCTCACATTCAAGACGTCAGGAAATTTTTGGAGAATGCCAAGAGTCTGCAGCACTTAGCACTGGAAACAGCTGGGACTCCCCTTCCTGCGGTTGCAAAGGTCGGCAGGACTACAAAGTCTCCACAAAAGAGTACCAAGTCTGGCATTTTGCGGCAGGGATCAACAGGCTGTTCGCCAGAGCTGCTGAAGATGTTTCTGGCAGAAGGTTATTGGGAAGAAAAGTGGAAGACTTCGGTCCTTCAAAGGACTAGTATTGAGGACTTGAGACCAGCTTCTCGAACAACAGAACAGCCAAAGGGATCAACTTCCAATGGTCCAAGTGAAAATACTAGAGAAAGAACCGAGACGGTAACTCCGCCAAAGCCCAGCTCAAACGGCTCCAGGGTCCAAGCTCATAGTAAACATCTGGACAACGAACACAGTGACGCCAAGGGGCCTGTCGAGGAGACTGTGAAGTCTGAGTCTTCGGATGGCGAAGAAGCCATGCAGAGGAACGTTGGTCTAGTCGCTCCTGCTTCGAATGCCGGATCATCGGATGGTGAGACACCGGATGTTGTTCCTGTGAAGGATGCTGTTGCTTCCACATCAAATGCTCCATTGGCAGAAGCAGTGCCGCCACAGGACGACGTTGATAAAATAGCTGGCCGATCGAGCGAGAAAGAAGGCGGCGTAAGCAACACCAATGGTGACGAGGTTGTCATTGTTGATGACCCTCTCGGTGTAAGCTCCAGCGCAAGGCTGCGCATTCCAAGGACTCCACCAAGGAAGAGCGGCTCCTCGTCCGAGGAGGAACCCGGCAGCAGCACGAGCTCGTCGCCGTTTACTGCTCTCAGGAAGATTTCGATGAAGAGAGACGAAGTAGGGGACTCTCCGAGGAGACCAAAGGGCCCCGTGGCGTTGCAGTCGCTCGGCCAGTCGATGATGGAACACATCCAGGTAAAACTCTCACATTTCTTCGCGATGTTTTAAGTTGCTTTGTTTCCTACAGGTTTTGGAAGGCGTGCTGTCCCAGAAAGTGAGAGAAGGCGAGCAAATCTCCAAGGCCATCATCGGTGGCAAGGGCCACGTTTCGGCAATGGTGGCATTGGCAGAGCTACGCAAGATAAGCAACGCGCTCCTTCAGATGTGAGATGGTGCAGGCTACTGTAAATAACAACGAAGTATGGATCGATTGATTTGACGAGGAACGAGGAGAGAGCTCATCTGGTGGGATTGTTTGCTTTCATTCATTCAAACGCCCACTAATTCGCAGTTCTCGTAGGTAGGCCCGAGAAAGTGCTTGTTATTTCTTTACTACGAGAGCTTCCCTGTTTAGTTGATGAGGTATGGCTTCCTTTCAATCAAATTTTCGCAGGGAAATAACAACCTTTCATTGTCAAAACGATTAGAATGAAAAAGAACAAACAAGTAACGAAGAAGCCGATATGGAGAAGTAATTGGATATAGCCGCGTAGCCGAGAGAAGAGGAGAGGGAGGAGAGAGAAGAAGAACACCTCTCTCTCCATTCTCTCCTCTCACCAAACTTGACGATGGTGGTGATGATCTTGGAAGTGTGGAGACGCTTGGATCTTTCACTGTAAAAGTTGAGCGAGAGCTCTCACTGGAGGTGATGATCCTCGATGCCTTTGAGCGAGCCTCCAGATCGGTTGCGATGGTGGTGGGCATGGTGATGATGCTGGTGCTGGTGGTGATGCTGGTGGTGATGGTGATGCCGGAGGCCATCCGCCGCCGCGAGATGCCGGCTGCTTGAGTCCCCGGCACTGAAGAAATCCGAGTCGCGGTCGGGGGAGTTGTACTGCGAGATGGACTCCGAGTTGCTCTCCTCGGTGGAGTTCCCGCCGATGGCACCACCACCATTGCTGCGAGGCGGCGGCGGCGCCGACCATCCCATACTCACGTGCTTGAGAATGCTGGCCTCGATCTTCGAGTTGGCGGCGGCGGCGCTGTTAAACCGGGCCTTGCCACCACCACCACCACCACCTGGATTCGCCGCCACCCACGGGGGCGGCTTTGCGGTCACGCTCCTCACCGCGCTCCTGTTCATGAAGGTGGAGCTCTGCTTGAGGCGGCTCCATGCGTGAGCCAGCCTCCGGCCGTGCTCGCTATCGTCGGCGCTCTCTCCACCGGATGCGTCGTAGCCATCGCTCACGGACCTCTGGAGCCACGGCCGAGAGAAGCTCGTCGCTGGTGGCGAGGACGTCCCATGGACGCCAGTTGATGCTGCCACGAGGTCTGGTGGTATTGCTGCTGGTGCTACTTCTCCCGCGACCAGGTAGCTCTCGCTCTCGTCCGGTGAGAGGAGCGACGTGGAAGGCACGATCGCGGAGCTCCCTGGAGTGCTTGGCAAGAACGCGCTCCTGGCCTCCAGCTGCAGTGGTGCCACCGAGTCATCGCTCCCCAGGCTCTTCTTGGTGCTGTGATGCTTTGGAACTCCGCCACCTTCCGCCACGGACGATGGGAGTTTCTGCTTTTCCCAGTGCTGCTTCGATGATCTGCTGCTGCCGCTGGTGTCCTTGGCGATCGCCGGGGATATGTCACGCTTTCTCTTGGTCTTTCGGCTCGATGGCAGTGGGACTATCTCGGCACCTGGACTCCTGCCGAAACTTTCCGGGCTGCTGTCCGTCTCGGTTATGATCGAGGCGTCGTTCCCCACGGGCTTCAACACCGAGGACTTCTCTCGAGCTCGCTCTGCTGCTTTCGAGGCGTCTTCTGCGTTTAAACGGGCTAGCTTCCAGGGGCTGATCTTGACTGGCTTCTTCGCCTTCTTTCCGGCCTCGTCTTTCTTCAGAGGCAGCGGGACAATCTCCTTGCCGCCGCTCTCGATGTCGCCGCCTAGAGGATCTTTCACAAGCGTGTCCTAAGTTCACAAACGTCAGCTTGGCGCTCACATAGAGATGCAAAGAAGCGAGCTTACCTGATGCTCCACCAGCAATCTTGGTGGAGTACACCATGGCCTCCTTTGCAAAGCTCCGAGAGAACTTACGTTGCTAACGGCGGTTGCAACCGAGCTTACAGGCGAAGACTGCAAGCTGTGCATGTCACCTTGTAGTTGATCCCGCTCCCTCATTGCTACAATATAATCATATGTACTGATTCCCTGTACCACGTAGTCATGTCAACTTTGTAGCTGTTCGGAAGGATTCTAGGAAGAACATACCTTGTGAATCAGTATGAGATGAAAGAAGAAAAGTTGCCCGAGAGGAAATGTTGCCAATAACGCCAGAACTGTACAGAGACCCTGGTTTCACTTTTCGTTAGTCAAGTCGAGAAAAACATGGCTGGCCTTGTTGGCCTACCACTACAACGACAAACGGCACGATAGAGAAACTGCTTCCCAGCTTCGAAACAATATTGTCTTGAAACTCCTTACGATTGAGCATGCACCTGACGATCACGAAAACTCCTACTGACCACTGCAAAATTAGCTGTCCGAGATACACACGGTTGTAAGCTTTGAGACAATCCATCAGAAAAAACAACTACTCACCAGCAGCAAACCGGACACCATCAAGGACACAAAGGTTCTGTAGTTCTTCTTTCCAATGCAATTGTTTATCCACTGCATACCAGACACATTCTAGAACACGTAACATAAACAAAACAAGAGCTTACTCTGCAATGGTGATCGAATCCATCGACGCACTTGTCACAGGCACGGCAGTGTTTGCTAAACTTGAAAATCTGCAGGACACAAAATCAGGATCGCCACACTGGATTTTAGGCTAGAACTTTCACTGGCCTGAAAGACTTAGTGTACCTCTGCTTCGCATAAGCTACAATAAAGCAAGTCCTCCTGATGTCTGGATCGCTCTGCGTTCCTCCTCCACGAACAGCATATCAGCCTCTTCAAGCCCACGGCAAGACATCCAAACGGAGCACAGAAGCCGAGTGCATTATCCCCTGCATTGCTGGAGGCCGAGACATCAAGGCTCTTCTTGTTGTGCTCCTTGGAAAAAGACAGTGAGGTACTGCTCGACTTGTTGGAACCACCTTTTCCATACAGCTTATGCTTCTCGATACCGGGATCAGCTGGATTGGCGGCTGCACAGCGAATGTACAAGGCAAAAACCAGAATGACCTGCACAAGGAGTTGTGTTTTCTCGAAAACCCAAAGAAAAGGAGCCATTTTTACCAATGGAGAGAAGATAGCGATGACATGGTACTCGAGGACCTTGCTACCAAGAAAAGGGATGAAGAAAACGTAGAACGCGAATGCTAGAGACACGAACACTGCAATAGCTACCACCTAGAGGCTAGACATCAGCAAAAAACCATAAAAAAACGCAATTTTTACCTGCAGAGGATGGTAAGGAAGCTCCCACCCGTGGTGTCGCATCTTGCCTATGTTCTCGTGCTCTAGAATCTGTGCTCCCTCAGACCCAAATTCCTGGCCTTCACTGTCTTCCCAAACAATGTAGCTTGTTTTCCCATGACCCACTGCTTCGCCTGCTCTACGCTACTCTGCCTCCCAAGAACAAGGCCTTGCTCAGCTTGAGAGACTTCAGCTCTAGAACTTCCAAGCCGCCGCTTCATTCCAGCAAGAAGCAGAGGATGAATGCCGAGATTCCGAGATTTCCCCCTCCATTCCGCTCTATCTAATCATCTTCCAGCGAGCGGAGTCCAGCTCCACACACCCTTTTCCCTGCTCGGCCATAGCCATCCCCCTGTGAGAGAGCGCCCGCTCTGCTACTGCTGGAGTTCCACCGCATTGCCTTCATTGGGCTTTGTCTTTCTTGCTTGGACTCAGCCCGTCGCTGCCCGTCACCACACGCGCGTCGACGGCGGACGTGCGTGGCACGACCCAGGCCGTTAGATTGCCATGCGCATCAGAGCTTAGCCTTAACCGTGATATTTGCAGGAATCCCAGCGCTCGGCCCTTGGCCTCTTTTTTTCTAAATCGCCGGAAGCATCGTCTTCTACTTCTTGTCGGGCTCGCTCTCCATTTCGAGCATTATTTTTAACCTCGTTACTTGCCCCGAGTGATCTGTAGAGTGAACTCCCAGTTCAAGTCAACAACATGATAAAAAATTTTAGAACCAACTTATCTCGTTTGAAGGAGTGAAGTTGAGTGACACACGATCCCCCCACCACTCGTAAATGTCCCTGCGACTTTCTGCAAACGTTTGTTAATTGTCGTGCTTCGCCTCTCCCTGATATGCGCGATGAAAAAGGTTAAAGATCTACGCAATCGAACTAAATGCCGCGATGCCAAAGCTCTACCAACTCGGAAAGAAGGGACGCGCTACTTGCAACTTTGCACTTCATCGCTAACAAAGATCCTGGCAACCAACATGCATTAACGAGTGGATCCACAGGCTGAATGAGACAGCCAGATTTGCTTAGATAGGAAAGCAAAACAGGAATCACTAGAAATCCAAACAGCGTCAAAACAGTACCTGTTTACGACGAGTAATGCAGGAAGGACCACCCATCAGCTCTCTTAAATGGCGACCAAACTCACTTTCCCTGACACGCTCACGTGAATTGCCTTTCAAAGGGCTGCACCATGGTCAGTATCAAACTGAAAACCAGAAACTACAGCACACAGCTAAAGCAATGACTTGCAAACTTACACGACAGTTACTATACACACTTTTCCCAGCCTCTCGTCGCCTTAGCACTGCGCAAAAGCACACATAACAGATCAATGATCCAGTTGGAAATCTAGCTACACAAAACTAGAACAGCTCGTCGCCGAGACACGACTCACCGGGTTGTCTTCATATTCTCTGGTGGTGAGCTAAGAGTTAACCATATCAAACAAGAAAAACCTTCAGGTTCCCATGTGCATCCCTTTCGCTTTAGCAACGAGCATGGTCCAGACAGGCCTAGTAATGGCACAGATACTGCAAATATCACACAGTCAGTCATCAACTCAAAATGGTGAGCGGGAACCTTTTAAATTTGCATATGTGAACACTCCTCGCTCGCCATTGTCGATCTATAGAGATTATAACCTGTGCAAGAGACAAATGATAATGTAAGATAGGAAAGAAACAATAGTTTAAAATTTCGTACCAGGAATAATATCTGTTGCAACTGTTGTCAGATCTTGCAAGGACGGAAGAACAAAGAAAGAATGGAAACAGCAGAGCAGTAGATATTACACTGATATTATTTACAAACAGAAGATAGATCGAACGGAAAAATCATTGCAAGCTAGCTCAGGCTGCAGGGGCGAAACCGACTTGCTTGTTTCCGAAATCGAAAACGGTGTGGTACACACCCATGAAAATGTCCCCGAGTATCCTGAGAAAAAAGAAGAACATTGACGAGGTCAAGAACAATTAACGTATCATCGCATACCAGAGTGGCCCTGCTGGAGCAGGGACATCCAGTCCAATAAATCCACTGAGACACTGCTTTTTGTTCCCGTCTCCAATCTTCAGTATATACTGGAAAAACAAATGCAAGAATGAACAAAGTAAGAAAATTCGCAAATCCGGTTACCTGCTCCGGCGACAACTCGTAATTGCGATTAGCTATAGTGAAGGAAATCTTCGGCATGCGAGACACGGAACTGCAATCGACTGCGGACTCTCCATTTGGACTAGGCAACCGGCTACAGAGCTGTAATCAGTAGCAGAAAGCACGAAAAATGCATCGAAGGATTAGGACGAAAAGATGCATCGAAGGACACAAACCTCGTCAAGGTAGGACACAATCTCCTCCCTACTCCGGTTTTTTCGTAGCTGGTTCTCGATCCAGATAACAGCTCGCTCGCAAGCTTCACAAGCCAGGTCGTTGTCAATACCTTCTCGCTCCTTATCAAGGACACTTGCAATATCCGGTCTGCAAAACATACAAAGTTTTGGTTGCAACAAAGAAAATAAAGAAGGTATAAGTACTCATTTCTTGTAGCTGAGCATACTCCTAATTGTGAGCAGACTTTATCAGGTGACACCTGGATACAAAAAATAAAACCCAGAGCATTTTGAATAAGTAGTTATACCCTCACCTGGGCGAGCAGAAGATTGATTATGATATTGCCATATTGATCAACTATCAATTTGCATTCCTGGCTTACGACTCCCGAAGCTCCAATAGCATGATTTATTTCTGCTATGATGGCCTGCAAAAAAGTTTAAATCGTAACAAATATGACTAAAGAAATATGACTGAAAAAATTACTTACCGAGGGCCCTGCTAGCAAAGATGTGCCAGAATCAACGATCGCAGCACATCCCTTGCTACACATGCCTGCAACCACCAGTAATGCTTTTCAGGTAGACTTAACGCGGATACCAACCTGTGCCATGACCATCAATTAGAACATCTCCCATGCGGATCTGTTTTATGTTGATAAAGCCAAGTCAAGCTCGAGGAGAAGAGAACAAAAAAATTACCTCCCAGTATCCCTCACGAGTAATAGGAGCGTAATTGTGCTTTCCCTTAAAATGCTTGGGATCTACTCCTCCGAGAACCAATTCTCCCCCATTTCCATCGGTTGCATCGCGATTGAGCCAAAAGGAAAATACAGGTTCTTTAACAAGCTGCTGCTCGACAATATGGTACCTAACAAAAACTATCGTTTAAATCAATGTTGAAAATCGTGATAACTCACCAAATAGGAACAACGCGAGCTTGTGCGATAGCTTGGAAGCCCAGTCCCATGATTCCATCAAACTTTGCAGCCATAAAAGTTAGGCCGGGTTCGCTTGTTGCTTCCGCAAAGACCTGAAACGAACACGTTGTGTGGGCTCTCCAATCAATACCTACAAGTAACGTACCTCTCCTTTCACTGTAAGCTTGCCGAGAGTAACATCGTCGACGCTAAGAAATCCCGACATTGATCCAGAACCATACTGAATGGAAATAGACGTGCCTAGCAAGTAAAGAGTTCCCAAGTGAAAAATTCACACACCACAACAATCAGCGCAAGCTCACCATTTGGTTTGTATGTGCTCGACTGCCCCGCCTTGTATCTCCGATGAAACCAGCAAGAAGGCTGCAAGAATCCATGAAAAAACGTGTGGAATTCCTGGAAATACTTACCGACAGAACACATTTTCCCGATGGAACCCAGAGATTCGAGCTACCAGTGTCAAAAATCACAGTGAACTCCTGCGGCGGGCTCCCAATGCCGATCTCGCCGTAATACTGCGCATCCATGTAGTTCTTGAGCGGCAGATTGTAGCCGGACCCGGACCCGAGGCGATCATCCGGGCGAGACGAGGTGATCGATCCCTTGTCCAGCGCCTGCTTCTTCAGAGAAACCCTGAAAATCCCGCCGCTCCGATCGTCATCGGCAGCGCCAGCAGCCGCGCACGCGCACAGGAGGAGCAGCAAGATCGACGCGCAGCAGCAATGATCCATAGCTCCGCCAAGAAACGCACAAACCCTACCAAATGATATTCAAGAAGGCCATGCGCGCTCTTCCTCTTTTTTTTTTAAAAGCTCGCCGGTTATCTAAGTGTTCACTGTTTGTCTTTCCAGCGAATATCGCATATTCTACTTCTCTTTGCGTGAAGATTCGTGTAACGTTTAGAGTAAGAAGCGAGCAATAGCAATAGCCCAGCCAATGGGATGGAATGGAGTGAGAATTAGGCAATGTGGCAATCATATATTGGAAGAATCGATGGATGCCACCAAAAATCGATGCAGCAAGCAAGTGATTACAAGCTCCTGGGGCAATAAGAAGATTAAGATGTACGGAGACGCACGAGACGTGGAGAGGTCGCGGCATGCGTTTGATTCCATGTACAAAAGGAATGTGGGGTCCTGGAATATCCTTCTTACAGCAAATGCCCAGAACGGCCATCTAGAGCGGGCATTTGTGGTGTTTAGCGTTATGCCATGGCGTGACATTGTGTCCTGGAATTCCATGATTGGGGCTTTTGCGAAGAGCGGCGAGAAGGAATATAGAGCTCTCGAATTGTTTTGGATGATGGTGGAGGAGGGGATTCATCTCGATAGGATCACAATAACTGCTGCGCTGGAAGCGTGTATGGATCGAATCGAGGTGGAGCGGATCCACCAGATTCTGGCAAGGATTCCCGAGCTTGAATCGAGCTTAGAGGTGAGAACTACTCTGGTAAAAGTGTATGGGAGAATTGGGTGTTTTGAGAGAGCTAAGCTTGTCTTTGATCACCCCCGGCGAGATGTCGTGCTATGGACGGGGATGATTCTAGCATATGCCAGGAATGGGCATCTGTGTCCTGCAAGAAGGGTGTTTGAGAATATGCCACATCACACTGTGGTGTCCTGGAACGTTATCTTAACAGTGTACGCACATGTAAATAATTTCTATGAAGCAAAGAAGATGCTACAAATTATGCCTATGGCTAGCGTTGTCTCCTGGAATATTCTTCTTACAGCATATGCCCAAACTGGGCATGTTCTAGATGCGGTGAGAACTTTTTGTTGCATGGATCTCGAGGGCCAGTCACCGGTTCAAGTAACTTACCTTGCAGTTCTTGTAGCGATCTCTCAAATGGGGGATCTAAAACTTGGAAAAGTGATCCACAATGAGATCGAAGCTGGCGATTCTAGTAACAGTCCGGAAATCACGACCTCGCTCATTGACATGTATGTGAAATGCGGGCGGTTGGACGATGCAAGGAGCTTCTTTGATGGAACCTATGGAATCTCTCTGGGAATCTCCTCGTGGAACGCTATGATCGGAGGATATACCCGATCTGGTTATACGAAAGAAGCATTTGAGCTCTTCAAGAGAATGGATCTGGAAGGAATCCAAGTGAACAGAGTGACGATACTTTCAGTTCTTCCGGCATGCCATAGCTTGCGCGAGGCAAAGCTCGTCCACGCGGCCTTCTCAAGCAAAAGACCTGCCATGGAATGGATGGCTGGGATTGGAGCTGAGCTCATCAACGTCTATGGCAAGCACGGCGGCGTGGAAGATGCCTGGCGCATCTTCCGCAAGATCCACCCGTGCGATCTCTCCGCGTGGACGGCGCTGATTGGAGCAAATGCCGAGAATGGGTACGAGGAGGTCGCTGTTCGAATCTGGCGATGGATGGATCTCGAAGGCATATCTCCGGACCATGTGGCGTTTAACAGCATTCTCTTTGCTTGCAGCCATGGAGGCCTCGTACGCGATGCCGTGGATTTCTTCCAGCGCATGACGGACGGCTGTGATTTGCTGCCCGAGGTGGATCACTACGTCTGTATCGTCGATCTCTTTGCTCGCACGGGGCAGCTGGAATATGCCGAAGATCTTCTTGTCCACATGCCGTTTGAGCCAACCTTCGTTGCCTGGACAACGTACCTTGGATATTCCTTATTTTGGGCGGGATAGAATCTAGGGTTCTTCCAGCTATGGGGGAAGCTGGGCGCCCCGACGAGGTAATGGAGGATCTGTCAGCTCCGTTGGAATGCTATGCCGCTGTGGCAAGGATCGGCAAAGATTGGAGCGAGGCGAGGCGCAGCGGCGAAATCTTTGCGGATAATGCGCTCTCGCAAGCGATGAAGATCCTCGCAGGCGCCCTTCCGGCCGTGTTCGAGGATTTGTGTCCGTCCTGCTGCCAGATCTTGTCGACAAGACTATCGGGGATCGCCACAGGTAAGCTTTGATTTGGAAAACTGGGAGCTTGTTGAAATTTTCTTGTGGCTTTTGGTCGCAGGCTTGGAGCTAGCTGAGGTCATCGGCAGGAAGTATGCCAGCGTCGATGGGGCATGTACAATGCACAGAACAGCGAAGGTCCAGAAAGAGGAAGAAAACTGCGAAGAAGACGAAGAAGACGAAGAAGATGAAGAAGGAGAAGAATGCTCGGAAACGCAGTCTGTGATGAGTGGAAGTGCCTCGATTTCTCAAAGGGCGGCCCAGAAGAAAGTGCTGACGCCTCAAGAAAGGGAGCACATCAGGTACTTGCAAGTCGTCAGGAAAAAAGATTTTGTCTGCATGGAGTGGATCAAAGGCATGAGAGTCAACATACTCCAAGGTCTAGAGCTACATACCAACATCTTCAGTGCCGCGGAACAGTCTCGCCTTCTCGACATGGTTTTCGAGCTTGAGCTCAAAGGCCAGCGGAACGAGCTCAAAGGTCATGTTTTTGATCCATTTTCTAACGATGGTACTGACGTGGGCTTTTGAGCTTTTAGAACGCACTTATTCCGCTCCACGGAAGTGGATGCAAGGGAAAGGGAGAGTCACGCTTCAGTTTGGATGCTGCTACAACTATTCTCACGTAAGATTTGGAATTCTCGTGAAGAGTTTCTAAGCTTTTTTGTTGTCCAGGATAAGTTTGGAAATACTCCAGGCATCTTGCAAGACGAGGAAGTTGATCCGTTGCCGCCACTGCTCAAGTCGACCATCAAGCGCCTCGTTCGCTGGCATGTCCTCCCTCCCACCTGCGTTCCAGACAGCTGCATCGTCAACATCTATGAAACAGGCGACTGTATCCCACCTCATATTGATCACCACGACTTTCTACGGCCGTTCTGCACCGTGTCGCTGCTCAGCCAGTGCAGCATTGTATTTGGATCGAGCCTGTCCGTCGCTGCACCGGGAGAATTTGATGGATCTTTCTCTACACAGTTGCCGGTGGGGTAAGTCCTCTCCTTTCGTTTTTCCACCTTTTTTTTTGTTCGAGGCCTCTCTCATGGCGGTAACTTTTGCAGGTCGGTGTTGGTTCTCAATGATAACGGTGCTGACGTTGCAAAGCATTGCATTCCTGCTGTTCCATCCAAGAGGTTAGCTGAAAAGAGTTTTCAGCTCGTTTGACGTCACGATTTGCTTTCCCGCAGAGTCTCCCTGACCTTCAGAAAGATGGATCCTCGAAAACGACCGTATGGCTACAGAAGCGATCGAAGCATGGAGCGAATACCACTCTTGGACTAGCTAAAGTATCTGCATTTTTCTTTATTTCGTTCAGTTCCTAGGGTCTGTTCAAGATGGAGAGCGCTGCGGCAGACGTGATCATCTTGGGGGCTTCTGGATTCACTGGCAAGCGCGTTTTGGGTGAGTTCCTCCGCAAGCTCCCAGAGGACAGGAAGGTGGGCATAGCTGGGCGTAGCCGCCAGAAGCTGGAGGAGTCCCTCTCTTGGGCTCTCGGACATACGTCTGAAGAACAGAGGCTCAAGTCGTCCGTGCCGATATTCGAGGCTGATGTTCACGACATGGCTTCTCTTCGGGGGTTGTGCTCGAAAACAAAGTTGCTCGTCAGCTGCGTTGGTCCGTACAGGCTTTATGGAGAGCCCGTTGTGGCTGCTTGCGTGGAAGCTGGAATAGACTACTTGGACATCACTGGGGAGCCCGAGTTCATGGAAAGGATGAGGGCCAAGTACCACGAGCAGGCCGTGGACAGGGAAAGTCTGGTGGTGTCCGCTTGTGGATTCGACAGTGTTCCGGCGGAGTTTGGGGTCATCTTCAATACGAAGCAGTGGCAAGGCTCTTCGAAGCCCAACAGCATTGACGCCTATCTCACGCTGCGTTCCTCGACGCGGATGAAAGGCAACTTTGCAACTTTTGAGTCTGCGGTCCTGGGAATTGCGAGCGTTGGGGAGCTTCAAAAGCTCAGGAAGTCGAGGCCAATTAAATCGCCAAGACTCCAGGTTTGTTTGTGCGTCGTCCTTGTTTTTTTTTTTTTTTCCGTGGATAACTTTGTTCGTTTACTAGATTCCAGGAGTGCCGCTGAAACGCCCTGCGGTGCACTGGGAGGACGCAGTAAATTCCTGGGCCGTCAAGATCCCTTCGTCCGACGCAGTCCTGGTTCGTAGGACTCTTGCAACAGTAGCTGAGAACCCAGACGGCCTTCCTACGGCTTCCAAGCATCAAGAACAGTCCTTAAGGCAGTGGACGGACATCAAGCCTGTGCTCTTTGGCGTCTACTTGAGCGTCAAGGAGCTCTGGAGGGTCTGCTTTCTGCTGCTCACGGGATTCATTCTCTACGTCCTGGCAAACTTTGGTTGGGGTAGAAAGCTCCTGCTCAGCTATCCGGAGGTTTTCACAGGCGGAGTTTTCAGCAAGACGGGGCCTTCGCAGGAGGAGATTGATAACTCCTCTTTCTCGATGGTGTTCGTGGGCCGCGGCTTCAAGGACGCTAGCAAAGTTCCGCCCGGGAAGAAACAGCAACCGGACATGGAGATCATCACGCGAGTAACAGGTCCGGAGATTGGATACGTGACGACGCCTATCATTCTCGTCCAGGCGGCGCTGCTCGTGCTGGAAAACCGCGATAAACTCCCCAAAGGTGGCGTGTGGACTCCTGGTGTTGCGTTTGGAACCACGGACTACGAGCAGAGGCTGCAAAACAATGGCTTGTCGTTTGACGTTATTAGCAAGCATTAGATAAACCTTGGCCAAAAAAATTAGATTTATTTTGTGTTCATAATAAACAATATAAAGATTTTACATTGATTTATGTTTAACAAGGTGTGCAGCAAGCTATTATTAATAACTTCATTCAGCTCTTGACTTACTGTTTAGCAGATTTTCGTTGATGGATCTAAAAATATTCCACTTAAGAAGAACTCTGCTACTGTTTGATAATAATGTTGGGTGTAGTGAAGACCATCCCAAGATATGTAAGTACTGGGATTTAGACAACTTGATACACCAGGTGTTCCACATATTTGGAAAGGAGAATAATTATAAGGTGCTCCAGTTCCGCAGCAAGCATCTCGTATATTCGTAAAACCTGCCTTCAAGTTAAATAAATAGCATATATATCAGCATCAGACTTACCGTAAGCTGAACTATTTTGAAGGATCTTGTAGTAAGGGTTATACATATCTGCAATGTAGAATTTGGCGTCAGTGTATTGATTTCGTAGAGAAACCACAGCGTCCACAAGTTTTGAGTTGAAATATTGAGAAATGTTATTAAATGCAATAAGGCACTGATAAGAATCATATGCTGTCGGATTTGGAGATGCAAAAATAGTCTTAAATTGTGGAGTGCAGCCCAATGGTGTTATTGTGAATACCAAAAATTTTCTACCACCTTCGTTATAAAGTAACTAACAAAATAACAGCACTAAGGTTTTGGTTATTGGAAATCAAAATAACCTCACTTGTAAAGAAGATTTGATAGCTGCAACTGCTTGTGGTATAGTAATGTTTGCAATATATGATAGAGATTTATTGTTGTAGATTATATTATTAATAATGTCATTAATTCCAATTTCTACAGCATAAAGGAATGTTTGATAAAACTTTAGTGGAGGTAATGACTTCCTATATGCATCTGTTTAAAAACAGAAATAAAATTAATACTCACATAATTTCTATAATATAATTACCTCTGTTTGCATTGTAACCTGATTCTAATCTCTGTTTAAACTGCAAAAACTGTTGCAGCTGGTAAGAGAAATATATGGGATTTTGAAAAACGGTGTTGAGTGCTGTTGAGCCAGCCTGAGCAAAGTTAATACCAGTTCTATAATCTGGATTAATAGTCACAAAATAAGGCTCTGGATACTTGAACTTTAAGCCAGCACCTACGAGAAGCTGTTAGAAAAGTTCATAATCACACACCATACTTATGTAATCAATAATAAGCCTTCCATCTGAAAATCTTCCAGTTGGACTTCCTGGATAAGTTATACCATAAGGAGACTGATTTCCTGGATTACTTGGAAACACATTAGCAGAGGCTCCTGTGTCTGAAAGAGAATCCCCAAATATGATAATTCCATCTACACATTGGGGTAGTGGTGGTAAATGTGTGCATAATGCAAAAGAAAATAGTATGCTGAAAAATGAAATAATACAGGAAAACCTCATCTTGTTAATTTCTGAGTAGCTTGGATGAATGTTTTCTAGATCACTTGAACATTTTTAAATTCATATGAAGTGGAGGAACTCAACTTTGCTACTAATATATTACAATATAAGTAATATGTATATATGATTAGTTTTAGATCTTGTAATGCCTATCTAGAAGCATAAGATCCCAACATAATATATGCTCTACCATAATACAGTCTATCATAATATAATCTCACCCATCTTTTTTTAGATATTAGTTGGAAACAATTGCACCAAACTAGCAAAGAATCCAACTATGTCTTAGATTAAAATAAAATATTTTATTAAAAATAGAAAATTTTTCAAATAGAAGATATTATACGAGTTATTGTTTTACATAAAAAAAATTATTATAAAGTTAGAATAGCTCAACTGGTGGCTGTTAACTACAAGGTCGAACCCTCCTTCTAACAAATAATTATGGGAACTAATATTTTTAACACTAAAGAGAAATTATATCCAAAACTAGAGTCTACTTCCAACTTGATATATCTTCAAACACTCCCAAATGTAAAAGAAATTATAATCAAACTTTAAAAACATAAGAGGAAATACTTTAACCTTATTCCAAAATAAATCTCAATCTCCTTGTATTTGTAACAACTTGTATAGCTTAAAGAAAGAGAGATTGAATCAAAGGATCTTCTTATTTTGATCTTTTGTAGGGAAGAGAGCTTTATTGAGCACCAGGACAATAATAGCCAAAGTACTTAGACAATAGCTAAGGAACTCCTCCTACCTTCATGTAGGGAGAATTTAAGCAGCCTTTGTTCAATAATGCTCAGTTTTTAGGGTATTTTAGGCAATCTTATACCCTAATTATCTCTCAGAACTATAAATGCAAAGGTGAAGGACAGGTCCAATAGAAGTGTAAGATTTTTAAACCATAGTAACAAAATAAATCACAATCATTTAAGAAGGATTGAGATGTTCTATTTGCACGAGTTTGTGCGTGAGTGAGGCACATTAGCAACTCAAGGTTACACTTTGAGTTAGCAAAATGGATTTGAGGTGTACCATTTTGCACAAGGTTGCACTTAGGTTCATGAATGAGGCACATTAGGAACTTAAGATTATACTTTAAGTTGGCAGGATTAATGTTAATATATCAATTGTTCCATGAGTTGTTCTTTGTACTGTGGATAAAAGTAAACTTCCCTGGGTTTGTTATGGGTGGCAAATAAGCTAGTTTGTAGCTGTTTAGCACTAGTGAATCCTTCCTAGGCATGATTATAAGTGGATCAATCAAGACTATAAAGATTAGTTTATTGGTTCAAGTAGTCATTGTTGTACCCTCTCATAAATTTTTCTGGGATTGGATTGAAGTAGTGCTAACGCAAGCTTGAGGTTTGGTTAAAGTAAAGTCCAAAAAAAGAATCATTAGGGATGAAAAATCAAATACATAAATTATTTTTGGAGAGATGATTCGCAACAAAGTGTAACTCACTACTCGTATTTACATTATGCAATCAAGAGTCCCTATCTTGATGCATAGTGGTTATGATGATCTTACAAGTGGTGAGTCATAAGATGGATAGTGGTGAAACACTATACCATTTTGTCTAAACTTGCTATTAAAGACTTGAGTTACAATGCTTAATTCTTTTTAGAGGACTTTATTATTGCTCCTTGAGTAGCTTAGTGTTGGATTAGTTTTGAGTTTGGTTGGAAAGAAAGTGGCATGAGCTTGTCCATGTTATGAAAAAAATTAGTGGTGTTAGGTGTCATAAATCTCTATTGGTGGAGTGTGTCATTTATGTTGCATTTTGTCAAATCAAGTTAGCACTTGATACTCACATAAATATTTGAAGTAATGACATGGGTGTTACTCGTGGTGTTGCTCAATTTATGATTAAGTTATTGTAATTTTATATCATATCCATGTGATAATAAGCAATGTGTTTGCAAAGTTGCTTGGTTAAACGATGATCAACCCCAAAGTGGTTGATAATAAAACTAGTCTACTTGCAAGTAGTAGCATTGAAGTAATTTTGATTTGGTTCTCAATTGTGATCTATGATATGCTAAACATATGTTGGTACTTTGTTTCCTTAAGGTTTCTCATAAGATATTGGAAAGGGTTATAACATTCACTTGCTATAACTTGTTTGTTTATTTATTAACACTTGGAGGAGATTGTTGGATGGAGAAGGTGTGTAGTTGAAGCATTGACATCACTAGCACTTGTGTTGATGGAAGTGGCATTGTTATTTCAAGTGATAAAGAATTTTCCTTAAACCTTGATTTTCTATGTCATTTTCCTTGTTAGTGTTTTGGCTTTATATTGGATCATGAAGGTGGTTGAAAAAGAGTGTTAGTGCAATATGGATATCTGAAGATATAGTTTTCATGATCAAGTCTTGGATGTTTATTTTGCATTTTGTAAATGTTAGTGTTGGATATTAGAAATATGGGCATGATGTTTGAGGTTTAAGCATATTATGGGTCATGAAAATTTGTGTTGAGGTGAACCTATATGAAGTTGTTGGTAGAAAGAAGTTGATTGAATTTTGAAAGTTTGTATTCCTGGACTAAGAGTCATTCTTTCTCTAAGATAGAACATTTTCCACAAATTTTCTTAAACTTTTCCAATAACTAATTTATTGATTGAAAACCATTCTGCTTTCATAAGTCAATACAAACTAGTGAAGGGGTTAGAGTTGACTTTGGTTAGCTTAGACTTTAATATGTAACTTATATGATGCAACTTGAAAGGGATGTTGACTTTAGGGCTAATGCAATTGAGTTGAATAGAGTCTAGAGTTAGTGTGAAAGAATGGCCATTACACTTTTTTAGAAAGGTGAATCTTGTGTCTTTCTTTTGTAGTGTTATGTTTGGTGGCAAGTTGCACTTTGTATTTTGTTAGACTTTATGAAAGGAGTGAGCTCTCAATGATTTTGATTTGGTCTTGGTGGCTCTGCATCTTGGCTAATGATGATGATGATGTCCAACTTAGTTGTTTGAAGTTGAGATGTTGGTACTCATATTATAACTTTGCCTAAGTGGAGTGTAAGGAACCAACCCACCGAAGTGTCGTAGGCTAAAGGAACCCCAAAAGCATGACTAAAATGACAAAGAGTTCATCGGATGGGACCAAGTCGAAGATCGAGTCCAAGACCGACTCTAGGACTGAGTTCGAGATAGAGTCCGGAATCGAGTCCGAGACCGACTCGGGGACCGAGTTCGAGTCTGAGTTCGAGACCGAGTTCGAGATGGAGTCCGAGATCCGAAATCGGGTCCGAGACCGAGTCCGAGGTCGAGTCCGAGGTCGGGTCCGAGATCGGGTCCGAGATCGAGTCCGAGATCAAGTCCGAGACCGAATCCGAAGTCGGATCCGAAATCAGGTCCGAGATCGAGCCAGAGACTAAGTCCAAATACTAATACGGGTCAAGGGGTGAAAGCCCAAAGCGTGTGTCTCCTAGGGGGGGGGGGGCTGCAGGGGGTTCCAAAAGTATAGTAGGGATAGTGAGATCTAGGAACCAGTCTTGAAGGAACTCTTCAGTGGTGCTTCCAAACTGACTTGAGGTTGAGACTGGGGCCGAGGGGCCTTGGGTGGGAGTGAGCATGGGCTTGAGTGGTGCCAGAGGGGCCACCCAGGGAAGTGCTCAAGAGCA